AGATTTCCAACAGGACAACAACAACAACAACAAAGAATTCGCCTTTTCATGCTTACAGAAGGTCAGACTCTATAAGAAAACTGTAACCACTTCCACTCAGAAGAGCAGCACCCACCCAGAGTCACCCGTGAGCAACCAGGAGCTCAGGCAGGGCGGGCACGGGCACCAGGACCATTCCCAGCCCCATTCCCAGCCCCATTCCCAGCCCCATTCCCAGCCCCATTCATTCCCTCAGCACACAACGCACCGCAGCCCCGTGCGGTTTATCCATCCCCTGCCCACCCTGGTCTCAACACCAGCCTGCACCTCAGTGAAACCAGGGTGTGCAAAACTTCCCAGACCCTGCCAACAGCCGAGGCAAACCAGGCAGGAATTGCTTTGACATCCGTCCTGATGCAATAAAAATACCCCACAAACCCAGACCAAAGCACAAAAACAAACAAGCAAACACAAAACAAAGGTTTGAATATTATCAAAAGGTAAGGGGGGGGAAATTACAGGAGAACAGAGAAGGGTTCCCCACCTCCCAGTGCCACTACCCAGCCCCTCCCCAGCTCCCAGTGCAGCAAAGCTGACCTGAGGAAAAGGAGAAGTCCATGCATTTCTGTTTCTTGGTCACCTCTGCCCATGCTCCTCATTTCCTCCTCACCAGGTTTTAGGAGGATGTGTCCCATTGGGTCTCCTGTTGCTGAGAAGTAGGAAACTTGGGATTTTGAAGGATGAGGGCAGATTAAAGATGCACTTCCTTCACTATGAGCACTTCCTCAGGCTTTAACTCCTCACTTACTTCTTATACTTTCTCCAGTAATTTAACTGATACTTAGAGGTCAGTCTGCTAGCATCTCAAACTCTTAAGGAGAAGTTATAACATTGAGGATCATAAATGTAAAAATAAACCCTGGTGCTGTTTGCTCTCTCTAGCAGGCTTGGGATGAAGCCCAGCAGCTCTCTGCTAATCCCTGCTCATTAACCACCAAACACAAGTACCAAAGGATGCAGATGAGACAAATCTCCCCAAGGCTCCCCAGCACAGGCCCTGCTGGCACCTGGTCCCCCAAGGCTCCCCAGCACAGGAATCCCACAACTGAGGAGCCTTTGGGCACTTAAAGCCACCAAGCAAACCTCCCCCCCAGCTTGCCAGCCCTGAAGGAAAGCCCCAGGTACAAGGTTTCATGTCAGCATTATCACTGAAGGTTCAGCACATCAACCTGGGCTAGAACCAAAGCAAGGGCTGGGCTGGCTGAAGGGGACAGGGCTTCTGTCACAGCTCAGCCAGACCTTCCCTGGGCAGCAAAGCACAGGAATAACTCTGCACACACATACCACCAAGCCCAGTAACAGCTCTGGGCACTTTGTTGTACCCACCTGCCCCAAACCAGCACCAGCCTGAGGGTGCAGAGAACAGAACTGAGGAGCCCATGAAACCTCAGGACAACAAGTTGTCACCTGTAGGTGGGACTAACAACAAGTTTCAACCACCCCAGCCCCAGTGCTGTCTGAACACAGCAGTGTCACAGCTTCCCCTCCTCAGCTGTGGAGCAAACTTCTCAGTGTCACTTTTCCCACCAAGAACAAACCTCAGGAGCCTCAGGCCAGGCAGCTGCACAGCAACAGCCACCCTGCCAGAGCCAGCAGCAGCCAGGAGCACCCTGCAGGGTAGGTAATGCCACTCACCAGACATTGCTGCACCACAACGCAGTTCTACCCCAGGAAGTGAAACATGTGCCAGGTGCCTGTGAACGTTTATTCAGCCCCACATACACAGCATCATGAGGAAGGTTTGCATCGTGCAACCAAGGACACCACAGAAGAGTCTCATGAACAATAGAAAGTTGACTAATCTCTTACAAAGATGAGAATCACTAAGTTATCAAATCTCTCAGGTATAAATCTATGAGGTAAGCCATACTGAAGATGAGGCACTTAAACAATAACCCAAAAGGTAATCAGTGTACAAAGTTAGAAACAGGAACAGTTATTCATATTGCCCTCAATTATACTTAAAAATGATGTATATCCTATATACAGTGTTACATGCCTTACACCCCCAGGATAGGAGAACATGAAGTATGGAAGGAACCAAGTTGTCACCACACGCCATCCACAACACCACAGGCAGAGGAGGATCCTGGAGGACACAGTGAGAAAAAAGTGCCTCTCAAAGAATGTTTTCCCAGACAATGCCCAGAAAATATCTGTGCTAACAGCAAGTGAACTCGGTATTAACATACAAATCTGCCAAGCCAGAAGAGAACCACCCTACTGTGTTGAAGGAAGGAATGCCAATTAGGACAGGATTTAAGCCTTAGTGGGATTTATGGTAATTAGAAATGTAACAAATTTAACTTTACAAAGAAATTAATTATGCCAATTAAAACACTTAGCAAGTTTGACTGGGAATTTACAGTGTTATACATGTATGGTGCTGATCAATGCCCGAGTTATTAAAGCAACTCGGGGCACACTTCCAAGGAAATTTACCAAAGTGGCACAGGAATTCCAATTAAGATGCATAATTACTATTCACAATAAACATTTCCTTATCAAGATCCAGAGAGAGGAAAATCACCCAACACAAGAAATAAAGAATCAACGCTCAAGTGGGGCAAACCAACATCTCAACCCCCATAACTGCACAGCTTCCTGGAGCCTGCGTGGGAAACCAGGTCAGGATTTTTTAATAATGTTTAAAAAAAAACACCTCCAAAAGACCCAGGAGCTCTCAGTGCCAAGCAGCTTGCATCAGTTAACCCTGGGACAGACCTGAGAGCTAATGGAATGGCAACACAAAACATCCCTCCTCCTCCTCTGCTTTTGGAGGTGGGGAAGGAAAGGGGAATTTCCAAACCAGGTGAAGTTACTCCTTGTTGAGAAGTACCTGTGTTTGGCAGGAGCAATGACCTGAAGTTCTTCTGGTCTTATAAAGAAGGAGCTTGGATTTCCATTCCAGATGGCCTCTGAAGGCCTTCTGTGCTTTACTCACATCTGACATTTTCAACTCTCTGCACAAACACAAGCTGCATTAGGGCTTCTGTTTCTGAAGATAAGCCAGTCCAGTCTTGAAGTGTGAAGGGAACAAAGGAAGAGCCACAGTTACTAGAATAACAAAATTAAATTTGGCAAAAGTAATGGATTTTATTTACAAATACATGTACGAGGATTACAACAGAAACACACTAGGGAAACTCCATCTCAACAAAAGCAATGATTTATTGGTAATGGCATGAAATGAAACAGATTGACAGTCTCTGGTTATGGTCAAGCAATTATCCAGGAGTTGTAGATAAAAGTGAAGATCTCTTTGATTGCAGTAAGGCCTTCCAGTGTCTCTTGTGTCCTAGTGGCTCTCTCCTTTTTTGCCAACTACCTGATAAGAGAAGAAAAACAGAAATAGTGTTTAACCAAAAACGTCCTGCCCAGTATTTTTACATCAAGTCTCAAAAAGTGCAACTGAATGTTCAACTGAGTTAATGCATTTAAGCATGCACTGCTGTAGCACTTCCAGAAGCTGTGATTCCCTCTAAAAGGTTCAGAGGGATGCAAGACACTCCAGAAACCTTATCTTTAGTACTCACACAGACAGCAAAGCCTCAGTCTCACTTTGAGTTAGAGCACAGTAACTGCAACACAGACCACACCTAAAAACAGATATTATGTACCAGCCATTCACCTTTAATATCTAAAATATTATAGAGAGAGAACCATTGGGTGCCCAAACATAAGTCTGTTCCTTTCCCTTGACACCCTTGCTATGCACCTCACCATGCAGTTCAAACCTGTGCAGAAACCTGGAAGGCACCTGTTTTTCAGGTACATCTTTGTCAAATCACTATTCCTTCCAGCCTCCTTCCACTCTCCAGCTCTGCCAACTCCACCTGGAATCAGCCAGCCTGGTGCTTCCCTCTCCTGTGCCAGCAGACCCTGGTGGGTGGCAGCACGACCCCAGCACTCTGCACTGGTCAGCACAGGTCACTGCCACAGGGTGCCCAGTCCCCTCTGCTCAGGTAACTGAACACAACATCCCAGGAGCAGAAAACCATGCCTTTTGGTCACCCCTCTGGGAAAATTCCCACACCATTCTAGTGCTCTTGCAGACCCTTGGAAAAAAATAGCCATTTATAAGCCAAACCAAAAGGAAAAGAAAATAGGTCTTGAAGTTCAAGACTTGAAGTTACAGGAGGGAGCTGGGGCAGGGCATGGATTATTGCCAATCCATTTCCATCCAACTGGAGAGAAGCACTTTTGATGTGACCAGATGAAGTCAGAATTCACATCAACAGAGGTTTGAAGATGACACCAGTGGAGCACAGACATTCCCATTGCTGCTTGTCACAGTGCTGAAAAGGAAGGAGTGCAACCCTCCTGCTCCAGCTGACTCCTGCAGCAAGGGTGTGAAGGACCAGTTGCCCCTGCAGCTGCCAACAGGGGGATGGAGAACAAGGGAGGAAAACAAAACAAGGAAAACCAAACACCCACAGCCCTGAACTAGGGAAGTCTCATGGACCCACTGGAAGTATTCTTCCTGATCCTTCCCCTTTCATTTCTTGTTAGACTTCAAGGAGAATTTTTCACTCTCCTGCTGTTTCTGGTCAGTTAAGTTATCACTGTCATCAAGTAAGATCTACTGATAAAAAGTACTTTTATAGACCATTTTCACCTCCAAGGAACTCCTGACCAGGAACATTCAGCAAGCTGCAAATTCATGCCTGGTAATGCTTAAGGTCAGGAAAATTCCAATTTGACAACGTGAGAAAAAAAAAAAGCCAAATTATTTGCATCAATCTCCAATTAATCAAGTTAAAAAAAAAAGTTAAAACTTGTCAAGAAGCAATCTTTATTCTTTGTGTTTCCAAAGCACCAAACTGTGTTCACACATAAATTAAGAAAAAAGAAAAACCATAATTAACAGATTAAATATTAGATGTTAGCAAGTGTGGAACATCAGTGACAAATATTGCTATACCAGTCTGAGGCAGAAATGGACAACTCGCCCATGTGTATTATCTGTGGAAATCAATCACACTTACATGGATACTTTATCATCACAAGTCAAAGAAACCCATTTTCTGACCATCCCACTCCACCTTCCCAAAGGCAAGCAGGCTATCAGAACTTCAACCCAACAGCTGGCATTATTCTGTTCTCAGAAGATCCATTTTCCATCCTTTGACAAAAGCAGCTGCCATCTAGTGCTTTCTAAGGTAGTGGTTCCAGCCTGCAGTTCCCACACAAAAGATGACTATTTCCAAGCTGCCTTTCCTTCAACTCTTTGGCTTTTTCCCAAGCATCAGTCCAGAGCCTGACAGTGACAAAACCAGAACCAACTCCATGGTTCAGTACCAAGACCAGGACTGGAAACCTCTATTACTGAACCTTCATTACTGAACCTTCTGGAGCAGAGTTGGTTTTGTTTGTTTTAAATATATGTAAAAAGGTTTCTGGAGAACCCCAACCAGGCCACACATGGACAACCTCTATTACTGAACCTTCATTACTGAACCCTCTGGAGCAGAGTTGGTTTTGTTTGTTTGTTTTAAATATATGTAAAAAGGTTGCTGGAGAACCCCAACCAGGCCACACATGGATAAACACCCACTCCTGACTGTGCCTTCCACAAGCAGTGCCCAGTGCCACTAGAGGGACCAGAAAGGGCAGTACTTTCCAGCTCATTCTGGCTTACCTACTCTTACTGGCAGGTCACCACAAAGAAAGGCACCAAGGTCCACCAAGATTTAAAAAGTCAGGTCTTGGCAGAGCACTTCACAGGCTGCACCTCAAACAGCTCTACTAAATTTAACACTGGACAAAAAGTGAGTTACAGAAAATAACTCAGGAGGACTGCATGGTGTGGCCTTACAATGTTGAGTTCAGGGTAACAGTGGGGCAGAAATTCGGTAAGATTGACAGCTGAACAGAAGTTTGGAGAGGAAAGAGGAGCTGATGAGTCAGAAGGTAGAGAAGGCAGTTCCTGACAGCAGGAGGTGCAGAGAAGGCAACTCCTGCATCAGTGCTGAGATTGTGGAAAGGGTGAGAGAGGTGCTGGGTGAGCAGGGGAAGCAAGGGAGGAGTACTGCAAGACCACTGCAGTTACTGTTACTGTTTAATTTCTTCTGCCTTTTTAGTTCTTTAGGAATGGGAAGTTAAGCTGAAAAACAAACGAAATGTTACAAGAAAAAACAGCAGCAGCATGTAGTGCAAAGAAGCAGTTCTGAGTAGAAGGAAAGCCTTCATTCAAGAGGGGACCAAAAACCACCACAACCTCTGCTCCAACCTCAGATCTGGGCAGCAATATGTTTTATTCATTAACACCAGAAATAAACAAGAGCTACACTGGACATGAGCAGCTGCATGCTCTTCCAAACACAAAAGCACATACCCAAGTTCACCAAAAGGTTCACTGGAACCTACCCAACACTAAGCTCAGAGACACAAAAACCCCACAGAGCCTGTCCCTTCAATCTGCACTTGGAGCTGCCTGCCCCAAGGAGCCAGCTGAGCATCTTCCAGCAGCAGAAGCAAATCTCAAGTGTGACCCCCACAACCCAAAGGCAGCCTGCCACAGCAGCTTGCATGCTCAGTCACACCTTCAGTCAGACCTTGTGCGGCCAAGAAACCTTTCCGTCCCCTTTTCTGTCACTTTGAAAACTTCTCCCCTCCCAGGAGATAAAAACCAAGTTGTGCAAGAAGCAGGACACACACAACATGCTACAAGTTTGAAAGCAGCTTTTGTAACATCTGACTTTCCTCACTCAATCCAACAAGACTAACTACATACAGCAAAACGTAGGAAATTGTTGCCAGTGAGAGCACTGAACAACCTGGCAGGGATGTGGCAGAGTCCCCACTGCTGGAGCTTTCCAAGATGCAACTGGGCAGGCACCTGGCTCCCTTTCCCATGAAAGGTTGGACCAGGTGAGCTTCTGAGGTCCCTTCCAAGCTGTGCTGTTCCATGATCCTGTGTATGCCCAAACTAACTTGAGGCCAAAGTTACTAACGAAGGACTGACTCTACCATAGCCACTTGGTACTGCTGGTGTTTTCCAGAGCAGATGAATTTTAGCTTTACATTTGATAGCATAATTAATGGAATGATGCCTCTGTTATATTAACTGCATGAACTGACTGATTCTTCCCACAGCCTGGTTGGTGTCAACATAGCACTCCACAAGCAAACAGGAGCTTTTCCTGACTGTCTGAAGCACATATGGGAGCTGCAATTATGCACCTCAATAATCAGGTGCTGTAAGCAAAGCATGCACTCAAGATCCCAGCCCACTTAGGAAGCAAAACACATCAGCCTGATCTGTAGCAAAAGTCATTCAAACCAATGTTGACTTTGAACACCACACACACCATCAACTGGGCAGCCAAGAGATCCACCAGAGACAGGACTGGGATCACATTCATCTACACATCTTAACTCAATCCCTTCAAGACACTTAACAGACTTTTTACACACACTTCTCCAAAACTCAGGGACAAAAGCATTCCCCCATTTGTTAATCATGTTGCAATACTGCTTCTATCATTATTAGCAGGGAAATATGAACAGTAAAGACAGAGCGAGATGAAGGAGTGAGAGAGATGAAAGCAGTGAAGGGTAGTGTGGGTAACTACTCCAGGAGATAAAAAGAAAAATAAGGTTTCCCAGTTAATCTACAAACCTAAATATAATTAATGCCCAATGCTATATTAAGGTTTCATAGCTGACAGGATCACTGGCAGAGAGGAAACCAAAGTTAAAATTCCTAAGAGCTTCTACAGGCTAAACATCGCATTTGTTATGAAGAAACATTTTAGCAGCCTAATATTAAAACTACACGTTCAGGAGGCAAAACAGGAATGTTACACATAGTGTCAACATGCCCCTGAGTTGGGACAGGAGGAGCCACTTCCTAACCCAGCAAGGCCTGCTCCTCTCCTGAAGGCACTGCTGGCCTCAGGGCAGGTGTGGAGAACAATCCTGCCCATACAGCTCAGTATCACAGCCCTCAGCCACTTCAGGACTGTGTCCCCCAGACTGACATTGTGCCCATGCAACCTAAAATGCTGCAGGAGGCTCCCTCTGTGCAGGCTCAACACTGCTCTCAAACCCATGTCACATCCTACACCAAAAAAACCAAACAACCCTGACTTGCTTTACCAAGTGCACCCCAAACAGGACTATCAAATAAAAAAAAAAACCAGAAATGAATCCCTACTTCCCCAATCAGAAGGTCAGGTTTAAAGAGGGCACTTGTGGAAAAGAGCCTTTCAGCACTTCTGAAAGCAAAACTAATTTACAGAGTTCACAGGGAACTGAAAGTGGGAGAGAGATCAGACAGGTCAGGCGCTGAGTCAGGCCCAGCCCCTCAGAACAGCAGCAGACAGCACTGCAGGTTGCACAACTCACTGCAGGGGATGCTCTGACACCATAAGTACCCCCAAAAGCCATATAAAACAGAAATGTAAGTAGATTGTAAATCAATTAATGTCTCTCTAGCTCTGTGATAATTTGGAAGGGTTTTATCAGGAGGGTCTAAAACCAGTATCAAGTTAATTTTAGTACATTAGAACATTTTCTCAATTACTGCAAGTTTCACTGAAAGGCAGCCAAGCCTGTTAAACTGCTATTTATGAACTTAATTAACACCTGCAGAGATGCTAGTTTTTACATGTAGAAGTTAAGATCAAGTTTTAATGTTAAAACTTCCAAGTGTGTGCCATGTTGGTGAGTGTTAAGTGGTTTTAACCTTCTGAAGTTATAGGTTATTTGCACAATTAATTCTGTGGTGCTTTCAATGTTATTGGTCACCTACACAGCAGTTTGTAGACAGGTATTTGCCCTTTTCCAAAGGCTACTAAGTTTTAAAGCAGCTTATTCTTAAAAGACTTATTACATTTTGAGGCAGTTGTAAGCAGCTTGAAAAAGTTCCAATCCCTTCAAACCCGTTTCACATTCTCAAAAAATGAAAGATTTCAGAGTGCCTTTACTGTTCAGCCCAGTCACACTGTAACAACTTATTTGCCTTTTCATTTCCTCTTCCAAAAGCAGGCATGTTCACTGTAACAGACACCTGGTAACCAAATATTTTTCACATCTCCAGCTTAATGCTGCCCGGTAAATAAAATGCAAAGTACAAGTCATGTCAATCACAAAGAGTCTGTTCAATCTGCAATTGCTTCTCTACTTCCTGAGGACCATCAGAAAGCATGTTTCAGATCAAGGCCTCAACCTCAAAGCTGTTAAAAAACACTGTCTAGAGTGTATCTAAGTTGACAGTCCCTCAAGTTCCCATATATATATATTCTTATCAGTTATTTTTATAAAATTGATGCACAAACACTTGTAAGCAAGACCAAAGATGTGTAAGATAAAGCTACACATTTCCTTTTGGATGCCAAAACTATCTTAAGTTGTGGAACTGCAGCAACAATCAAGTGTATTTGTTCCCTCAAACCATTTCTGAGTAGGTTAGAAACACTCAAAAGTGCTTATAAGAAAGAGGACTCACTCGCTTGAAGTCATTCATGTTTGTTGCTTGGACTGGAGTTCCAATAAACGTGAAGTATGTAATTCTTGTTGTCTCTTCATCACCATGATTGGACTGGACAAACAACTAAAAGAAAAGAACACAAACATGAGGAGTTCAGATAAACTGTCCATCCCTGAAGTAGCACATA